GGCACAAAGCAAGACACTTCACATCCCCATTTCATAAAGTTCCAAGGATCAGGCTGAAGAGTGAAGCTGGGTACCACAAGCCAAAACAACAGAGGAAAGAAAGCAGGGGTCAGAAGGCAGTTCCTAGAGAGAGGCCTGATTCTCACCAGGCAACTCAGTACTACTTGAATGAAATGATTGCTTTGTTACATCATTGTCTAGGAGCACTAGAGAGAAAGATAACACTCTCCAAATCAGGTGGCACCAGCCAGCCAAGAGAGCTCATGTAAAAACTATTAAAAGTGATAATCTCAGAAGTATTTTAACTTTAGGAGCAAAGTAGAGCTAACATTTATAATCATAAACGTTAATCCCAACTGCTTTCATTCAGTTACACTAACAAAAATTCAGGAATAGAAAAAATACAAAATGATATGAAATGCATAAGATCCTCATTACCATGGCCACAGGACCTCCCTCCTGAGCAGGACATCATTCACAAGGAAGGGGCCTAGAATGTTTTGGTTGAGTGCCACCAGATGTGAGTCCCTATAAAGTTGGATTGGCAAGTAGGGCTGGGTGAAATCAACACCTGTGAAAGGAAGGTGGTGGCATCAGGTTGGGCAGAGGGTAAATCAACCACAGCAATCAGGCCCAACAAAGCCTGATCCTTGCCAGAGGTCTGAGATAGACAGCCCATCGGAACTGGCCCTTGAAAGGCCTTTATGCTCCTGCCACCTTCAATCTTTGGATGTGGGCAGTCCTGGAATGGGCACATCCTAGGGCAAGGAGACTCTAGGCAGCTGAGGCTGTCCCCCTAAGAAGAAGATGGCTAGAAGCTTCCTGAATTCCCATCAGCAGAGATTCCTTAGCAGGGTAATAGGAAGTGCATCTCAATGACTGCCTCGGGCCTTTTCGATTTTACACAGGTAAAGACACAATGGCCCCATGGCAACATATCTAATCAGCAGCACAGTAGCACAATCCATCTCTCCTTTAGACCCGCTGATCTAAACTGGACTGTGAGGTCAATGCATTATAAAGGGAAACTCCGATGTTTAGCAAAGAGACTGTACAAAAGAAGGGCTGTAAACCCAAAGGACAGAAAGAGAAATTAAATAAAATGTTAAGAATCCTAAACCCCCATTGCAGTTGCTCTGAAAGAAATGATTGCCAAACATGGTACAAAATGAAAACAATTGAGAAATATGAAAAACGACAATGAATCACACAAGCATAAAGACAGTCTAAACGGTTCTTTTATTTCCTTCTAATTCTGAAATGATAACCTCTCTTATAATTGCCTTAGGATGCTGGTACAATTGAAATGTTAGCAGAAAATAATAAAACAGATTTGCAGAAAGAAAAAAAAACCTGAAACTAAAGCAACTGTAATAACAACAAATTGCCACAAGGAAATAGTGTGTTCTAATTTTTAATTTTGCTTTTTCAAGAACAAAGGAATCCAATAATATAATAAAAGGTGAAAAACCTAGACCATAAAAACAAATATAAAAAGAGTTGCTGAGTATTTCCAAGGCTTGCAAAGCAGTCCCCATTGATTAAATAACTATAGAAAGAGTGAAGTTTTTAAGCAATCCTTGGTATCCAAAATGTAATTGGATATGATGCAGCAAACACAGGCTTTACCACAAGCTGGGTACCACAAGCCAAAACAACAGAGGAAAGAAAGCAGGGGTCAGAAGGCAGTTCCTAGAGAGAGGCCCGATTCTCACCAGGTTGTTTTAACATCATGGTTTTCATAGGCTCAGAAATATTATTCAGTGATTGCTTTCTGTCCTTTCATTAATGCAAAAATCAACGATGGGCTCAGAAATAAAACTGCATGGGCTAAAACTGCCCACAACACTTAGCAGCAGGTGATCCTCATGTGGAATTCTCTGTGTCAGTTCCCCTCAGGTGAAAAATGGGGATCACAGATACAGACCAAAGAAAAACATCTTTGTAAAAGTGCTCAGCACAGGATTTTAAAGTGCTAACTATCATCGATATTGTTGTTATTATCATCATTATTATTTCTTTTTTTAATATTTATTTTTCTTCTATTGTTGATCAAATAACATTCACATTCATGGGGCCAAAAATATTCTTCAGAAGATTGCAAAACACATACACAGACACATGTACACAAACACAGACCAAAGAAGTAACAACAAAAGTCCACAATTAAGTGATGCCTCTGAAATCCCTAAAATAGGAACAATCACATTTCTTTAGGGTCAAGAGAAACAGCCAAGAATCTTGAGGAGATTATTACTATTCAGTATGAACACTAAGAAAACACACAGCACTATTTGTTTTCTGTGACACAGACCCTCTCACTCTTGTAGTTCATGACCTGGGTCTGGGTTCAGGTCACCTTCTCACCCTGCTCAGCATGTCCCTGAAGAAGCAGCACAGCAGACGTGACAAGCCTGGCAAACCCAGGGACAAGCTCTTCCAACCAAGGCTCTCAGCATGAGGCAGAGCTGTGTGGGCAGAGTCTCTCAGCATTTTCAGGGCATTCAGTTATTGTGTGATTGGAGGTAAAACTGATCATGGCTGCAAGAAAACAAAAGACTACAAGGCTTTTTTCACTCACAGACTTTAGGACACATGAACACCACATGTTGTCCAAGGTGGATTTTTTACTTGAATTCCACTCCGAGATTCTACTAATACAAACAAAGACTGAATCTGAAGATTTTATAATAGCAACACCTATCTGTAATGAAATCTGATGCTGAAAAGTGTGGGTTAACAACATTTTTAACACAATAAGGTAAATATATGGCTGAAAAAGAGAAGCTACCACTTCACTGTTGTTTCAAAATGTAAGATTCCTAATTCTTTGCCATGAGCCTGCCTACCATGTCAAGACAGCCATCAGAGTCAGAAAAATCACATATTGCAGAAATATTTTTTATACAAAAATCTGCTCTCTGGAAATTTTCACCTCAGTGCACAGTTTTGAAAGCTATACAAATCCAAATGTTAAAAATAATAACACGAAGAAGAGTAAAGAATCACATTTGGAGAAATGTATATCCTCAATCTGCACAGGGTCTACCACAGTGTTTCTTTTTAAAATATTTGCTAGTACTCAGTAAGGATGTTAAAGCCAGCCTCCACATCATGACAGCTGGGCCACAGGGCTGTTTCCATTTCCATGAGCAGCAATGGAAATAAAGCAACCACAACTATCCCTCTTTGATTACATTTCTCCTTCCTCACAGTTCCTGCTTTTATTGCCTTGATTTTCCTTTACTTTTGTCATTTTTACATATTTTCAAATTGATTTAAAATCTTTAACTGATAAAGCACCTTTCACATGTTTATCTCATTTTATTCTCACATGAAATAAGTATTGCCTCAACTTTGAAGTTAGAGAACTAAGGGCTAAAGCAGTAAATGACCTGTTCAATATTTCAGAATAAGTGGATAGTAGAGAACTTCATTTTCACCTGATTCCACACTACCATCTGTCAGTGGGCATAAGACTTGCTGTCAATCACCTTCCTCTCTGTCTCCTCTTCTTTTTTTCTTTCCTTAATGCTATTCTATTTTATGTGTGTTTTCAAGGACTAGCATTTGTATCTCACCTACTTTGTTATATTGTCTTCTTTTCTTCCTCCACCTCTACTTGTTTAGTGACCAACCCCTTCACTGGCTAATTCTTACTTATCCTCAAAGTGTTAGTGGGGCTGTCCTCCCCCAGGAACCCTTCTGAGAGCATACTCTGCCCTGGAGGAGGCCTCTCTCCCCTGTGTCCACAGAACACTTAATGTTTCTTAGCAGAGGATTTAAGATCTGTGGCTTCTTGAAGACAAGGATTATATCTAGCTTATTATACACCATGATGCCTGCAACTCCTTGAAAATCCAGTTTGTTAATCTCACAAATACTAAATTGTGAGATCAACAAAATGTGATTGCAGAAATGTGTAGGAATGCATACAAAAGGAGGATTCTAAAAATCTCTTTCCTTAGTTTGACAAGGGAAAAATTCAGATGAGCCTGACTCTGTATAGCTACTTGAGACAGAATAGTATCTCCTAAAAGTACTAGAATCCCTCCTATCCCAACCTTCCTCTAAAATAGTGTGAACACTATAATCCATCTCTCTGTATTTCAGTGTTAGATGATATTACTGTTAAAAATATAATAATTCCTTTCTTTTGTCATGAAAGTAAAGAGAAGTTGGCTATAATAGAATTTTCACATCAAAACTCTCTACCTGAAACCCTTTTTACTGTTGCATTATACTACTTTAATATGAAATATTTCACAACTAGAGGCAGGGGTAGAAAATAGCAAGGATCCACACACCCATATTCAGTTTATCAAATCATAACATTTTGTCATATTTAACTTCATATTTTTTTAAAAAATAAAACAATTATTAACACACTTGAAGCCTGGTTTCTACCCCCTAATACGATTCCCCATCTCCTAGAAAAGATATTATCCTAAAATTGATTTGCTATTTTTAACACTGTGTGTATATAAAGAATTTATATGATTGTTTAGTGGTTTCTTAAATATTACATGAATTATGCATTTGACAATAGGCATAATGATGAATTAAGTAAGAGTCCAGATGTTAACAATATTGGTCCACCAACAGGAAATTCACCATTAATATTTTTGTTGTTGATAGTAGTAATCACATACTACCATATAAAATTTTCCATTGGGCTCAGTCACATTTAAAGTCTGATCTAATAATAATATACTAATAACACTAATTAGCTCGTATACTCTCTCTCCACTGATTATACTGATCCTAAGCCATCATCTTTCTTATTGAAGGTTATAAACATTTTTCTTCTCTACTTAATTCTACTTTCATATCCTCTTGAGTTTAAATGGGATAAACCAAGAAATTCATGGGTTGTATCCCAGTAGAACTGAAACCATTATGCCACCACTTAAACAAAATACCTAGATTCAACCTTTATGACTTCGAAGATGGTAATTACTGGACATCTAAGGCTAACACAAAGACATTTGAATACCTACCATCTCCAAACAGGTATGTCACAAGCCTGCTGAGAGTTTGCTTAAGGTCAAACTCTACAAGCTTCAAGGCCTCCATGGTATGTGTCTCTTGCTTATGAGCAGAGCGAGAACTTTGTTCAAAGAGCTTCAGGCAGTCTCCATCCTTTATATCAGCAAATAACTGTAAACCAAAAGGAAAAGAATAAATACACAAAGCCAGTTGAAATAATAAAGAAATCCAGCTAAAACACAAAATTTAATCTGTTATAATATGCAATAAAAACTATATCTCATACTTAATAAAAACACCCAAATTAACATCCACTTAGAAGCAACTTTGAGTAAAGCTCTATGCTACATGGTGCAGAGAGCCTAGGGAATTAAGAGACTGTTTTCATCTTTGCTGATATCTCTCTGTTTTACATTTGTGTAAAGTTATAGTCATTTCCAAGTTAGAGACAGTATCCTCAATTCTAGTGAAAACACAGATGAATCAGGCTTTCAGACTCAAAAATGATATCCCCAACTATCCCACAATGTCCATGTAGTGTGACCTGGGACTAGGTAAGAAAGTATTGTCTGGGAATCAAATCCTGTGAAGTCCATGAAGGCAGGAAGCAGGCTGGAATTTGCTACTCTTTTATTTCCAAAGCCCAGGACAGGAATTGCCCCACATTTCTGCCACTTATGATCCATGTGAACACATGCAAAAAATCTGGTAGATATGCCTCTGGTAATGATCTATAAAATGAGATAACATTCAACACACTTTATGATAAATAAAATAATACATGAAAATACAGAGTACTTGGCATAGTGCAATGGCAAAATAAATTTTCCTCATTATCATCTTTATCATCATTACTAACAATCATAGCTACTAGTAGTCAAAAGTTGCTTTACCAATAAAAGTAGGTAAAGACCTACTTTTTTGTCCATCTGTGGTAAAAAAGTAGGTCTCTACCTGAGCTAGGAGTTGGAGTAACAAAGAGAATTGTGTATATGAATCTATCATCCTTCCCACCAGAAGTCCCATGAAATAAAAAAATAACAAACGTTTTTATTTAAAGAATTAATCAACTGACATTTCTAATAATGTTGAGTTCAATTATTAGAATGAATTCTCCTGATAAATGCTACTAAACAATTGGCAAGAGCATTGAAAAAGTAACAAAATAGAAATTACTAAACAAAACTCTATGAGAAAGTACAAAACCAGGAAAAAAGGCCTAGCACAAAGCCACTGGGAATATCTTGCCTACCCAACATATCAACTGAAAAACTGAACATTGGTTGTGACAACTTAAAATAGCAAGTGAGACAAAAGTGAAACTCAGCGTCTGACCAAGTCACAGTGTCTGAAACAAACAGCCCTAAAGGAATCATCCTCATCATAAGGAAGAACACAACCTTGTCCTTGTGTATACCTGTAGATAGGTGTCATTCCCTGGGCAATAGGGAGAGCCTCAGGCTGTGAAAATGGATTAAGCCAAACCAAGACTGGCAGTTCCTTTAAATGCCCAGAAAAATTATTTACAAAATAGGGTTGGGGAATTGGCTCAGTGTTTAAGAGCCCCTGAGTTCAGTCCCCACTACCAAAAAAAAAAAAAAAATTCAGAAAAAGATCCTGTCACGGCATCAAATACAATGACAAGTGCCAAAGTCTTGTCACAACAAAAGAACAAATGAAACAATTAAATACCATTCCCTCAGCATAATGTGAAAAACTGAATTCCTGAGCACCAAAATAACTGTATAAAAAGGTACCCAGGGAGGGCACAATGCTATTCTTAATCCACTAGGAGCCTTTGAGGAAATCAAGTGCAAGCCGAGGAAAACCTAAGGAAAGAAAGAAGAGAGAAAAGAGTGAGGTGGTAAGGCTGATCTAACATCACCAGTCATCACAGTGAGTCACTCGAGTCCAATCTCAAAAATTAACAACAAATATATGAGTGAAAAAAAATTGCAAGGAGAATTGATCAGACTCAGGAATAAAACAGAAGAAATTAAATCTACTCAAAACTCAAGTTCAAATTGTAAAGTACAAAAGAGACAATGGAGCCAATGGATATTTAATAAGGAACATTGAAGAAACGCAGAAAAGCAATGAAGGGAAGAGACAAATCAAAATTTTATAATGAACAACAGGCAGAGAGAATAAGTGGCAGAAATGGAAGAGAAGCAAAGAAGGAACAGTGTTTATATAACTGGAGTCCCCAGAAGAAAAAAGTCACATGATGGAATGTCACTGATGGGAAAAAAAAAAAAAAGACAGTGAGAACTTGAGAAAATAAATTAAGGAGGACTGAATGGTTAACCCATTAAACTGAAAAGATAACAATGGAAAAGCCCTCATGGCCTCTAGGAAAACAAAACTAAAATAAAATAAATGAGTAAGAATCACAGGGTCAAGGGAAATTCTTCAAATGTAAAAACAAAACAAGGCAACAAGGGCTGGAGCTGGGGCTCAGTGGTAAGCACTCCTCTAGCACATGCAAGGCGCTGGGTTGGATCCTCAGCTCAATCAATCAATCAATCAATCAATCAATCAATAAATAAATAAATGTATTGCATCCAACTACAACTAAAAATAAATTAAAACAAAAACAACAAGGCAACAGTAGAGCCACATTATCAAACAACTCAATTTAAAACTGTATGGACCAAGAATTTTATATCCATCAATGTTGTCCTTAAAGGATCAAGGGTATAGAAAAAGCCTAAAGACACAGGGATGCTACATTATCAGGGAGATCTTTCTGGAAATTTACCAATGCAAGAACTTCATGTAAGCAAAAAATAAATGGGAATTTTTCAGCAAAAGAAAAAAAGAGAAAGAGAGACAGGGGCTGGGACTGTAGCTCAGTAGTAGAGTACTTGCCTTGCATGTGTGAGGTACTGGGTTCAATCCTCAGCACCACATAAAAATAAATAAGTACAACTAAAAAAAATTTTAAAAAAAGAGAGAGAGAAATAAAAGCTAATGTGGAGAATATTAATAAAATAAAACTGCAGATTTGACTATAACAAAGCTGGAGATTAAGTTGGATAACTAATATACAATTTTTACATGTGACATGATCCAACAAAGTAGAAATAATATAACTAAAAATCAGAATATAGAATACAATCATTGATTATCATGTAGTCAATAGTTAGACAATATCTTAAAAACAAACTAGACTATAAAAAGTTAAGAAAGCAGTACAGTAAGGTGTTTAAAAGAAGTAAATATAAAAGCAATCATTAAAAAAATATATAACCTTTCTGAATAGCAACAAAAAGTTTAATTCAAGAGCAAAATAACCTACATCTTATAAAAAAACCCAACCAATATAAAATAATGCACAGCCACAAAATATTATGACAAGTTGAGATCAAACAGCCATTGTATCAATAAATGCAAATAAACTTAATTCAGAATAACACTTAAAGGGGAAAAACAATGTTAAATTTGGACACAAAGCATGACCCAGCAACCTACTAGATTCAAGAAAAATACCTAAAACAATGTTAAATACAAAGGAATAAACAGATAAAAATAGGAAAATAAAAATATTTTTAAAAACCCATGGCAAACCTGATATAAAACTATAATATAAAACCTGATATAAAAGCAGAAAAAAATTAAAGAAGCAACATACACCACAAAGAGATACAATCTCTAACATAAAGGACTTTTAAAAACTGAAGAAAAGGCAGAACCTCAATTTTAAATAGAGAAAAATACATGAACTATTTATCTTCAAACAATAAGTGAAAATGACCCTTAAATATAAAAAAAAATCAGACAGTGAAATGCAAATTAACCACTGACATATTATTCCTAACCTATGATGCTGGCACAAATTAAAAAGCTAGACAACATATTCTTTGGGGGAGACTTCAGAAAACATGCACTTTTTATACATGGTAGTGGTAATGGAGCCTGGAAAAAGGCTTGTTGAGTTCAATTTGGCAACATCCTACAAAACTACACTTACTGTTCATCTCCTGACCCACTACTCCAGTTTCTAGCTATTTATCCCAAAGGTATACTTCCCAAGGTTTTCATAGCATTTTTTTAAAACCGCAAAATATTAGAAATAAAAATCTTGCACTATTAGAGACATGGTGAATAAACTATGGACTACCTATATAATAGAGCACCAGTGGTAGGTGTAATAAACAAGAGCTCTCCGAACGAATATTGAATGATTTCCAAGATAAACTGGGAAGTGAAAAAGGCAAAGTGCAAAATAGATATTATTATATGCCATGTTTTGTATAGGGAATAAAATAATAAAATATATGTATATTTTTTCATTCATGCAAAACAAAAACAAAAAACTAAAGCATAAAACAAAAATTGAACTAATAAATTGCCTGCAAGAAAATGGGTAGAAACAGGATGAATAAAAAATGGATGAATGGGAATGGAGTAAAAAGATCAGGGTAGGGTAGTGACATTCTCTGTGTTAACTTTTTTATACTTCTGACTTACAGAATCGTGTTACTCTAGTAACTCAAAACACTAAAAAATAAAATCCATCCAGAGGTGGCTAGAACCCAAAATGAAATACAAAGGATAACAGGGTGTAGAACATTATTCTAAATAAATGACAAAGCCACACTGAAGAAAACAAAGAATTTAATTTGAAAAACAGAATTTTAATGAGTTTTTCTACAGTTAAAATCACAATAGCAAATAACTGCATAAAAATTAGTAATTATATTTTCCATAGAGATACATACTAATAATTCTGAAACTACCTTATATGGTTACTATATAGCTGATCAAACCAGCAAATAAATTTTGGGTAAGAACCAAGTTTCTATTTTTTTGTTGTTGTTGTTGTTTTATTTGTGGAACTGTGGGTTAAACCCAGGGGTGTTTTATCACCCATCTACATCCTAAGTCCTTTTTCATTGTGAGATAGGTTCCCAATATGTAACCCTGGCTGGCATCAAAATTTGCCCCAGCCTCTTAAGTTGCTAGTTTGCAAGTGTGTGCCACCGAACCCAGCAAAGAACCAGGTTTCTCACTGTCACTGTCAAAGGCAATGGGGACTCCTAGACCAAGCCATTTATTTGGTGCTAGCTTGGAACTGGACACACTCATATGAATTCATATTTTTAACACATGTGTATAAATAAATACGTCAATACATAAATGGAAACAGATATACACTGATTCCCTTC